CATTTTAGTCATTTACTAAGAATGATACCCCTATTAATAAGAGCATTCGTGTACTGATTTTGATGTGAGCATAAATTTCAATTTGATAAATACATAGGAGCTAGAATTACCTAGTTATGTAGTAAGCCAATATTTAGCTTTATATTGCTAAAACTGTCTTCTAAAATGGCTATTTTCATTTTTAAAAGTTGTCTTAGTTGAATTTTAGAGCTCTTTAATGGTAATTTTTTTCTGTACTTAAAATAGTCACCGGTTGGTAGCATGCCCTTGTAGTTACAGCAAGGGTGGGTTGGGGGAAGGACACAGCAAAAACATCTCTGGTTTGAGGCCGGTCTGATCTATAGAGCCAGAACCTTCCTTTAAAATTAGTTATTCTGGTCTCTAGTGACTTGAATTGTTTTTGAAGTAAAGTCATTCATTAGCCAACTCCTCTCCCTTTAAACATCTTCTCACACTTTCTCTGAAATTTTATTCTGAAATATTATGGTGATTTTACTGTTAATCCTTTTGAAAGCTTTTGAACTTGGGTCTGTGAATTTATGTTTTTCTTTTTAAAATTAGAAAAGTAATGGCTTTGTCTTTATTACTTTTCCTGCAACAAGTTATATTAATGCTAGCCTTCTGATGGGGTGCTGCAGCTCCCTGACTTAATTGATGACTCAGTGCACACAGTTCACTGTCCTTTTGCTTCTTGTGTTTTCCTAGTTCTTTTTTTCACTGTGCTAAATTTAGGATTTTTTTTGGGGGGGGGGTCTTCAGCAATTCATTAAACTTGTCATTTACTGCATATAATCTACTGTTTATCCAATAGTATTTTTCTTTATATTTGACTCCTTAGAAGATCATGCAGAGCCTTAAAAATGTAAATTTTGATCTTATGATGTTCCATGTGATTATATTTTAGCTTTCCCCAAAAGTATGTTTTTGCATAATTATAATCTGTTACTGATATCAGAAGTTGTCATAACTGGTCTACTTTTACCAGATGTAGGTTCTCACTTTTTGGTGTGTTTTTATCATTTTATGGTAATCTGTTGCCATGCCATCCAAGCAAAGAGGCATAAGGAAATTTCTTTGTGCTTACAAAGCTTATTTGATATTTAATATTGGTGGTCTTTGATTGAGTTGATACCTAGAAAGTTGGGAAAGTAAAACTTCCTATATTTGAGAACCACTGTGAAATCATTTCCTGAGATGATCACTTCATGAAGTTCTTCCATAATTGTCTAATCCACTGGTGCACTCACAGTGACTGGTTTTCTAGGAGGAGGAGGAAACTATAGTGAGCTGGTTGGAGGAAGCAATAGTAATCACTGATGTCTTCCAAGTGTGTGTCTTGCCCCTGGCCCTGGTCTTTGTTCTACTTCTTGGCTCCATCCCTCATCTCTACTAGGGACTGAAACTTTTGAAACGGGGAAGTTTCTGTCAGGTTTTTTATCATAGTATCAGACAGACCTTGCATTGACATGTTTATTTGAAAATCTAGAATATAGTTAATGATACCTGCTTTAACATCCTTGCCTAATAGTTCCACCATTTGTCTCATTGCTGTACTTATTTTTAGTTGTTATATTTCAACTCATTATGAGTTATAGGTTATAGACTTGCTGTTGGGTTCTTTTATGCTAGTCTTTTGGGTTGGTTTGTGTCCTTTGGACTGCTTGAAGATGTATTTATAATACTTAGATGTATTTATAATACATAGGCAGGTCTTTTTTGGGCTTGGTCCCTCCAGAGACTTTTTCTAATACTTGAGTTGATAGCTGAAGCCCTCCTTCAATACCTTCTGAACTTAAAATCTCACGTTACAGGGTCCCTTTGAGCTTCAAGGATTGTTTCCACTGGGCGTGTTTTCAGGAGACTTTTCTCTAGGCTGAAGCCTTTTTACGTGTAGATACAAATAATTTCTCAACATAAATCTATCAAATTCCTACTAAAGGAATTCTATGTTCAGGTCCCCGAGTTCTTCATTTCTGCAGACTTTATCTATTTGCCCTGCAGATTCTAATTGCCTGTTAACGCTCACTCTCTAACCTGGAACTTGTTTAGACTGTTAAGAACCTTTTGAACTTTGATTGGCTTTCACTTTGCCCTCCCTGTGAATCTCAAAGCCCTTGTTCTTACAGTGATCTGGGAGCACTGATAGAGTGATATCATTTGTTTTGTTTTCTTAATGTCCCGAATGACTGGTGCTTATGAATCAAAGCTACTGTTTTCTCCTTTCATGGAAGATATCTCTGCTTAATGGAAAATACCATTGTAGTTTGGCAGACATACTTTTATGACTTTTAACTATCTGTAGGATGTGGGAAAACAGTATCTAAACCTGTTTTAGAGTAAGTGACATTCGTACTCTTGGTTGTTCCTTTTCACAGTCTTAGGTTCCTATACATAATGTCCTCTTTCATTTACTGCACATCATTTTATTTCTCTGATGAGAATTATTACCACATTGCATTGTTCAGTGCGGTATTTAATACAACATAGGGTGGAGATAGTGGTGATAAATGCTAATTATTCATACTTGCCCAGAAAAGTATGAAATGTCTTTAATCTTTTCTCCTTTTTTTTTTTTTTTTTTTTAAATAATGCTCCTTCAATATAGAATATTCCTATCCTGGTTAGAAACTTGCAATATAGAAAAAGGCAAAAAGTAAATAAAATTTCCCTTCGTAATAAAATCTATCATTTTGCAAAGTAAATATTTTTCTTTTAAATTTACTGATAAAATTATTTTTTATTATTAAAGTATTACTTAACACATAAAATTTTAAATTTTATTCCCAATTGTCCTTTTTTGTATAAGTAGGAAGTGCTATTAAAGTTTTGTAGCATTAAGGTGTTAAAAGTTGCCTTGCTTAATTTAGATTTTAAAATTCCTTTTGATAAAATTTGTATAATATGAAAGTGTACTATATGGAATTTTACCCAAACAAAATATTTAAGGAGGAAAGCATTCTTATTCCATAAATAGTGACTCAAATTTTAGATTATTTACTGGATTTAGTTAGCATTAAGGTAAGATAGATACTATCTTAAAACTTTATTAATACTGTTATAAAAACAAGGTTACCATTTTGAAACTATATAATGAAAACAATTTTTTTTTTTTTTTTTTTTTGTGACAGCCAAGCCAAGTATGTGTTAGTTATATCATTGTTATGGGACATCCTGTTCACTTGGTAATTTTTCTTTTAAAATACCCCAATTCCTGACTCAGGAATATATTTCTGTGGTAGAGTACTTTCCCAGCATTTGCCAGGCTGTGTGTTTACTCTCAAGCATGGCACAAATTAAATAATAAATGCAAACAGTTTAAATGATGACAACATTCATAGTTGTATATATACTAATGGTTTTAAAAAAAACCTTATTTTTGAGAGACATACTTTATTCCAAAAGCACATAGAAAGTTTCTAATGAGCAGGTAAGGCTCTACTCTAGAGGTAGGCATCTTGAAGTATTTCAGTCCAGCATGTGTGCCACCCGTGTGTGATGGTCAAAAATGAGTAAAACCATAGTTTCTGCAACTTTGTAATTTTTATTGTATGTATTCTTTGTAAAACTTTGTCAATAATGGTAGTTTTTATTCTTAGCAGATTGTGTTAATGTATGCATATTTGTAAACCTTTGTATTTGTCCTTTTTAATAAGACTGGTTTGGGGCTTTTGTTGTTTTTAAATTATGGGGCTCATTGGTTACAAGTACTTAACTGCTTTTGCACAGGAATTGGGTTTGGCACCCAATGTCGCCCATGTCACATGGCTCACACCACCTGTAACTCCAGTTCTAGGGGACCTGACACCCTCTTCTGGCCTCTTGGGCACTGTTTTCATGATCATAGACCCATTCACAGAGATACATTCATATACATAATTTTAAAACACATAAAAATTTAAAGAGTTTGTGTGTGCCGTTAATGTGTATGTGTAATATATTTGGTGTGTGGATGTAAATGGTATCTTTAAGAGCCACATGAAGTTTTCTGAATTGGAGTTGCTATCATTGAACCTGAAACTCATAGCCCATTGGTTGGGCGCTCCTGGTTGGTAGGCAAGTGAGCTTCAGGAATCTGCCTGTTTGCCACTTTTCCACAAGGTTTGTACGTGGGTTCTAGGGATGGACACCAAAGTCCTTGTACTTGCAAGGCAGGCAGTTTACCTACTGAGCTATCTCCCTAGCCCTCACCTAACTTGTGGTTTATAAGTTAGATGTTTTTAGTATTTTGTCCTAATGTCCATTTCATCTGATAGTAAATGTAAGTTGTTTTACATTTGAATGCAAAATTATAATGGATAGTAACATTATTAGTTCAGTGGCTATATGCTTTTCTAGGAGTAAATGTTTTATACTGCAAAAGCTATTTGTCCTAAAAATGTGTCTTATACACTCTTGTAGAACTACCTTTACATCTTTGAACTTTGAATTTTATTATGTATATTTGAAATAACATGGTGATTTTTAATCTCATTTTTATTTATTTTAACCTGACATGCACAATGCTCCTTTGTGAAAGGAGCATTGAGTGGTGTGGTGGGTCATGCCTGTAATTCCAGTACTCAGGGAGGCAGAGGCAGGCAGATCTCTGTGAGTTTAAGGACAGCCTGTTCTACAAAGCTAGTCCAGGACAGCCAAGGCTACACAGAGGAACCCTGTTTCAAAAACAAAAACAAAACAGGAGTAAGTTTTTTTTTTTTCCTTTTTTCTATCAGTTTTGTTTTGGTTCACTTTTAAGTTTCCTCTTGTGTGTAATGTCTGATAGACTGACATAATGGTGAAAGTAGGTGTGAAGGCAAATTTTTTCATATTGGATCTGTACATCAAAGTCCAGGGCTTAGTTGCCTGCCCTGAATATCTAAGGAAAGAGGGGATAGAGTGTAAGAATTACATTTTAGTTTTGTTCTCTTTGTATTTTGTATGTTATGTTGAATATTTTTGTTAAATGTTATGTATATTTACATGTTAGTAATTTTGATGGCTTTTGGATAATTCTACTCTAGAGGGAGAACTGGTGGGCGGTCCTTCCTGTGACACGACCCTTGAGTGACAGTTCTGTTTGATTGCCTCCAGTACTGTGAGGAAAGGACACGACTCTATGGTGAGGACTGATGGACATACATTATCTGAGAAAAGAAACTACCAGGTAAGAATTGTTTCCCTCCCTCTTTTCCATTTGTCCTGACTACACTGAACTATTTTCATGTAATATTTCATTGGAACTAGCACATTATAATGGATACATTGTATTCATACAGTGGATACTCCTGAAAATTTGTGTTATAAATTTAAATATTAAGTAATGAAATTGACAGCTTGAAATAATTGTGAACATTCTACAAAATGAAATATGTTTATAATGTATATTTTTACTAACAGAACAAAATTTCTGACATATATGCCAAAATTTAGGATTATCTGATGTAAATGATTCTATGGCTGGATTCAAAGGCAATAGTTCATAAAGTATTTTACACATATTCCTGAAAGAATGAAATGGAAGTTTGGGGTTATGTTTTGTACTATAGAGTGTTAAGAGAAATGTAGAAAACTTTGGATAGTCTATAGAAGAAATATAAATGGAATCTAGAAATGTATGATGACTGATATCCTGTTTAATTTGTAACTATTATGTTGTTCTTACAAGATCAGATTCTTGTTTCTTTACTTATTTAACACTGTCCATTCTCTATATAATTATGTAGGGATGCTCTTCCTGAGCTTTCAAAAGAAGGTGAGCTTTAAATAGTGTTATTGAAGTGATGTTTTGAAAAAAGAACTAATAGGGTTTGAAGTTAAGTTTTAAGTGGAAAATTGCTTCATTTCATTTGATAGTGAATCCAGCATGAAGTTGTGAAGTAATGTTAGGTATTGAATAAGTTCATGTGGAATGAACTGTTAGGCTTTGTGCTCCCTCTCTGTGTCCCTCTTGTCCTGTGAGACTGTAAGACAGGTAGTGTGACAACATCAGTTTTGGACAGCTGCTCTCTTACACACCCAGCATTTGTTTTAGTGCAATTAATTTTTCTTTCCCTACATTGAGGCATGAACAATGGGGAAAGCTGAAATTGAGTTTTATGGTATGTGTCAGCAAAGAGCCTTTGATTGTGAGACTTAGGTTCTGGCTTGGAGCACTGTCCTCAGTAGAAGATGCATCTGTATCTGACCTTCCTAGAACTTTTGCCTAACTTGATGGATGAAGTTTCTGGCCAGACCTTCATTATTTTAATAAGCCAGAGTAAGCTGAGATTATGCTAAATCAGTTCTGTATAACCTCTCTTCTCTGACTTGTCCTTGGAGACTTGACTAGCCTATGCTAATTATTTGTGCTTGCTATATAACTCTTCCTGCCTCAGAACCACTTCCAACAGCTTCCACTTGAAGATTTTGATTGCTTACACTTGGGCTGTTACATCTTTGTTAGGTTTTGCTAAATTACTTCAAGAATATTGTGATTCTGCTTATGTGGCATTTAAGTGCTCATAGTCCTATTTGCCAAGTATCGAACTTCTGTTTGATTTACACATTGTAGCTAATTTGTGTCATGGAGCCATGTTCATATGCACTTCCAGAGTTTATACTTATAAAAGGGATAAAGCAGAGTTACACTTCGCAAATGAAAAGACTTCCTTATTTCTGCTTATACTGCTGTAAAAATTCTTTATTCTAGTCACATAGTATGCACATAATACAAGTTTTTGAACTTGCATAGAAATATGCATTCTTGGTTAGGCTTTTCCTTGCTGAAAGTATTTTCCCATTTACCTTTTATTGCTTTATAGTGGTGCCCAATGGATATTGAAATGTTTTTGGAAACAATTAAATCTGGATTGTAAATTTTGTTTGTTTTTGAAGCCTCCTCTGAAAAGCACATGCATAGAAGACTAGATTCATATTTAGCATTAAGATGAATTTGTTAAGAATGTATGGGGTAGTTACAGAATGTGGACTCACCAAAGTAAAAATTGTATTTTTAGTAGTTCTTAGGAGTTTGTATATTGTAAGATGAAACTAATTTGGAGTTTATAAAATTTTACTTTATATGTTTTTTTTTCCATTGTTAAAGTAGACTTTTTAAATAAGTTCATTTATATGAGAGTTTTTTGTTTTGGAATTTGTTTGTTTCTTTAAATATCCTGATGAGCCTAATATTTGAGATTAACAAGAAGAATGTTTCTCAAGTTCTCATTTCCATGTAGACCTTACAGTGATTTTCAGTTACACATGAGTTGAAATACTGATTTTTGTAGTAGTATCGACTTTGTATGTTTTGTCTGTCAATAAGGCCAGTTAGGTATTTAAGTTGGTTTGCATAAATAAATTAGTTTAGGAAAGCAGTTTATTTAAATGGTATATAGTTCATTCATTTTGAAAGGGTTATCATGGTTTGTGTAAGACAGTGGACTTTAAAATTACGAGAAAGTGGACTTTATTTTTTTTCTACAATTTTATCTTCCCGCAATTTACACTAATTTTGCTCCAGCTATGAGAATGCATAAATTTACATCATCTTAATTACCATTTTGACTCACCAATGTCTTTCTCTGATATTCAATCTCTAAACATGGCACCTAGTTGACTTTTTTTTGTTCTGATTTTTATGCCCTTGGTACCTCTCTTCTCTAACTGCCTTTGCTGGGTTTAGTAATTTAGAGCTACTTTAACTCTTCTTGTACCTTGTACCCCAAGCTTTTAATATTTTGGGCCTCATATGGAATAGCATCCTTTCTTCATGACTCAATAATTTGATTTCCTTTTTTTTTTTTTTTTTTTTTTTTTGAGAAGCTGCCCTATACCGGACTCATCTTTTTTTCCTTTTGGTCTCCAGTCCTATGTACTTGTAGATTAGTGTTCATCTTAGCACATAACAGCCATTTATTTTTTCCTTTAATTTCCTCTGTACCTTGACGGTTAGTACTGTAAACAGGAGCCATAATGGCTACTTAAACTCATTTACATGTAATAAAATTTTAGATTGTGAGCCAAGCAAGCCTCTTTTTAAATGCTCAGTGTAAATGTCTACTAGTGGCTATTGTACTGATAGGTGCACATAGACTGTTTCTATCATTATGTAGAACTGCAAGACAGTGCTCTGTGTGGACATAATCAGCTTGTTGAAAACTGCAACCATATTATTTTGGTACTAAAGTAGTACTGTTAACCTGGTATCTGCTATAGAGATACATCTTCAGGGCATGTTGTTTAAATAAAATTACAGTGAAAAAACTGAAACAGAAATATGCTGGGTATCTACTAGTGATAGTCTTGAGATTTTTACTCTGAATAGAACTTTCCTTTCATTTATATTCTAGCAAAAAAAGTAAGTTTGTTCCTTGTAAAAATGTTGAAGAAAAAAATATTAAGTCCAATATGAATTCACTGTCATAACTCTTTTTTTAGAGCTTTGGTGTATGATCTCCCCTATTTAGTAAAAGTGTAAATGTGATTTCTCTTTGTTTTAAACAAGTATGTACTTTTGGCTTGCTTATTATATTTATGGAGATATTATCATGTCTTATTTCTTGTTTTTGTTTTTAAGAAGTACTCATTGATTTGAGTTTGGTGTTTAACTGTTTTTTTTATATGTATTTTTTTCTGTGTATATAGTTTTTCATATTTATAGGCACATCTTTTTTATGGCAGTGTTTTGACAAGTTATGCCTCATACTCCATTGTTTTGAGTAGGAAAAACAAACTTTCAGTTTGTTTAATCCCCAGACACTTTTCCAAGTTAAGCAGTTAACACTTGACAGTGTAATATAAAGTACAAATTAACCTAATAATTAAACATATAAGTTAGAAAGGTATGTTTCTGCTTGGTAAGTTTTAAGCATTACTATATATAAACATTTTATACTGCAGTGAAATTTAAGTATAAACAATGGCAGTACCTCCTTACATTTTTTTAAATTAATTAATTTTTTATTCACTTTACATCCTGGTTGTAGCCCCATCCCTTCTCCCCTTCCAGTCCCCCTCCCTTCCCCCCCCCCCCCACCTATTCCTCAGAAAAGGAGCTTCCTTTCCCATCCACCCTAGCTTATCAAGTTGCATCAGGACTGATCATGTCCTCTTCTCCTGTGGCCTGGCAAGGCAGTTCCACAGAGGGAAGTGATGTAAAAGCTGGCAAGTGAGTCTATGTCCAGTGCAGTCACCACTTCCCTTACTAGAGAAGCCACATGAAGCCTAAGCTGTCCATTTGCTACATTTCTGTAGGGAGTCTAGGTCCGATTCATGCATGACCTCCTAACATTTTTATAAGTCAGTATTTAAAAATTTCTCTGCAGTCCAGATGCATCTAAGGTTAGTTGATAATGTCTCAGAGTCATAATTGTACTAGTTAGCATGTGACTTCCTGTGTGTTTAAAAACATGAATATTTTTTCATCTTTGAGTATGTAAGATATTAAAGATAGACAAAGTATATGAGGACACAGAATAAAATCTGGGGGAATTTTTTTTAATAAGTACATAACAGTTTACATTTGTCAGTAGATCTGGTGCCTAGAATAATGATGGAGGTAGGTTTTGTTTCTTGATGCTGTTTGGTATAAAATGAAGGTAAGCAATAGTAAGCAGATTAAAAATGAACGCACACATGACTAAATCTAGCATACTAGGTCACAGTATTTTCTTGTTTGCTCTTGAAAATCTTGACAACAAAGGGCCCTAACTATTGTCCCTGGACAGAGATACAAAGAAATAGAGTGTGCTGAAACTCGAAATGATGACTTTTTATGTTTGGTTCTTCTGCATATCGCAGCTGCTAAGTGAGATGGTGCCCAGTAACAGTAATGGTGATAGTAGTGTAAGGCTGCTGTCCTGCCACCGCCACCGTTTCGGCAGCAGACGTCAATGGAATTTAGAACCTGAGGTTGTGCAGGAACACTTGCCATTTTATTTGGCCCTGTCCCCCTTTCCCATGTTTCCCTGGCCAACTAACATCAGGTGAAATGAATTCCCAAGTTCCTCTGGATTGGCTCACTGTTAGTTACATTATGCTAGCCTCCCTTTGTGTTACATGCAAACATTTTTTTCTTCCAAAATCAAGGTTTCCTTAAATTATCTTTATAACGTTTGTTTAACCCTGTGTGCTTGCTGAATGTGTGCACACACATATTCACAATGCACATATGGTAAAGGTCAA